TGGTAATCGTAACAATGCTCCGATCACTTGTCTCATCTTACTGTCGAGCTAGCCGCCGTAGCGCAGCTCCGTCCACCCACCGTTGGATCTCATCCACGCCCCGTCTCAGCTCGTCATGGATGGACAAGATTAAAGGAGTGTTCACCGGAAGCAAGGGCGCCGACTCCGCCTCCGCCGAGACCTCCGGTTCCTTCACCCTTATCCGTGAGTTGATTTTCCCATCCCATCGCGGTAAAATATGTAGAACGACAGAGTTTTCATCTCTGTGATTATTTGAAAATGCATGAAAACAGGGTTTGCGGAGGAGATGAACAAAGCCAGGAAGCTGAAGAAGCTGAAGCAGTTCGTGGTAGGGAGGGGCAGCGAGGCCACGTTCGCCGACGCCTTCGAGAAGCAGGAAGCCATAATCCGATATCTCGGGGGTGTTGATCCTACTGGCGAGGTTTGTTACTGATTGAATTTGTTATTTGGTCTTTCAGTTTGATGCTAATTGAGATTACGAGTTCGTTGTCTTTGCTGGATGTCTGAGTTTGTGTGTCGCTGTAATCAATTGCTGAAGCTGGGCTGCTTTTCTGGAAATGTATGGTTGGGGAAGGGCTTGATTGTTTGATTTGATTCGATTTCTTTATGAGCGAATTAGCTAAAATGTGGATCTGTTTTGTTAGGTCTTTATTTCGATGAATTTGGTTTTGGGTTCTGAAACTTAATGGTGCAGCTGGTGTTGTGTGTATATTTGACGTAATTATGTGATTCTTATGATCAATCAGTTTCGTGTTAACTGTAGAACATTCAAACCAGTCACAAGAAGGATGCTGCAAAACAGTGTAACTGCACAGTGATTGATGTTGAAAATGCCTTGGCGAAATTTACATGGGCGAAAGATGCCCAGAAAAAGATTGAACAGCTTAGAGCGGAAGGGAAACCGATGCCCAAGAATATGGCGGAGGTATTTTATCATGTGTCTCTATATTTATCCTTTATCCACAATGCTACTATAGGTTAATTATAGTTGATGAAATTTTTTATTTGTGATAATAATCTAACTTTCTTTGGCTGCATTTAGAGTTGAACTAAGGGAGCGCTTGGTTTAGCAGATGGGGAAAAGTGGTACCTTATTTACCTCCAACTAGATCCTCTGTGCCACTTGGTAAAGAGTTCCTTAGCTAATTGGACATAAAAATAAGCAATCTATCTTGGTAAATATATCTTTAATCAACAACTGATATGTCAACTTACCAAGCAGTAATTTAAATTCAGTTGTTAGCTAACAACTACACATCATCAGCTATCAGCTACCAGCCAATACGTCAACCAAATCAGCTCAACCAAGCAAATCCTGAGTTGGCTTAGTGCATAGTAAAGATGATTAATATAACCGATGCAATAAAGTGCCATAAGTGTATTGTTCAAGAAACTTGGGGGACAGGCCCAACCATTCATATAACTAGACATGTTATACTAGTAATCCTTTAAAGCTTTATAGCTTGTAAAGTCATTCTAAATACGCAAGTGGCAGGAAAAAAATGCAGTCTATTTCTTGTGTCTTCTGTCACATCAAATACAACAAGACCTTAACTTAACTATTGGCCTCCCTTGCAAGGATATTGTTTACTCACAAAAATGGAACTCAAGATATTGTAAATCCATACAACTTAAACTAGATCCTGCTCTGCTTTCTTTACAATCCTAACATCATTTACCCTTCCATTTAAGTATGACGCTGTTATTTGCTTCTTATTGAATTCACAACCCCAATTTTGCAGTGATTGATGATTGTGTGTTGCTGTCATTTAAAACTAGTTGCTTGATCAACTCAGTTGAAATTGAACAACAAAAATGAAAGATTATTGTATATGTTGTTGATTTTTTTATTATTATTATTTTTGTTGTATAAATTACCGACTTTTACACAATTCATTGGTTTCAGATGCAGAAGCTGATGGGATCTTCCCCATTAGATGTTGCACGATCAAACTTGGCTAAGAGTGGACAGATAAGTAGGAATGCACCTTGTCCATGTGGTTCTAAAAAATTGTACAAGAGGTATTTCCCTTTCATTTTCTTGCCATGCCATATAAGAGCAGGTCCTCATCTAACAAAATAGTAGTGGATAAGGTATCGCCTGATGTTAATCAGTTCAGAGAGATCATCCGAACTCTATCGTATCCGATAAGAATTAGAAATCTCATCAGCACTAAACTAGTCAGGAGCCAATTATTTCATTGTTGGGTTCATTTCGTAAATTACTATTGTTTTTGTTTATCTTCCCCTCCTCCCAGTTGGGTGTGAATTGTCAACCAGGGCCCAATTATGTCAATGTTGAGGTGATCCGTAACGAATTGGATCTTACTCATGAGATTCAATTACTGTGGATTTGAAATATTTAGATTTAAATCCATCAACAAAAATGAAGCTTCAGCATTGAGAGTTTTTTACCTCTCCCCTCAAAGTGTTTATATTCATTCAGTCTTATTGTTCTTGATGTGGAGATGCTTAAGCCGGTTTGTTTTGGTTTGAAGATGAATGTTCTTCTTATTTCCAAAATTGCATTTGTTCTGCAAGTCTATACTTGTGTTGATCGTATTGACATAACTGCTGTAACTTCTATTCACTTATTTTGCTTTCTTAGTCCACCCATTCTCATCCATCGGTATGCAGTGCTTTATTTTTCATTTAAACTTTAATTTTCTGTTGCAAATATGGGTTATTTAATATTTGGCATGCTTTTTGTATTTGAAGGTGCTGTGGAAAGGATCAAAGCAAATGAAGGTGAAGTGTCTCGTCACATTTACAATTTTACATTTGTTGAATTTATGATCCTTGAGGAGATCTTGGACCTTGCTTTTGATTGGAAAGTTTGGATAAATTAATAGGCACAAGATACTATAGACTGCAGGAATTGATCCTTGAGGGTTAGTACCTTTGTAGTATCATCTACTATCCAGCCAAACAAGTCCTACGGGAATAGGAAATTTTGAAGAGAACGGTTATTAGCTCTTTCAAACCTAGTTTACCTTACCGTCTATTTTAGATGGATTTTCTGGGATGACATAATCGTGTGTCTTCATTGTAATTGTTTATGCAAAGCAGCTGTGTTATTTTTGGTGGCCCTAATAAATAACCGTTGTTTCGAAAGTATGATATATCAGTTTGAAGAAGTGCGCCTTTGTAATGAAAAATATACATGTGCCTAACAACATCAGAGGTAATCACTGCATTTATTTCATTAATGATTTCACGTCAGGGTGGTACGTTCATTTGAGTCCTTAATGAGATTGAAGATGTGAGGATTTAGCTTAAAGGTATTTAATTTAACCTTTTCAAGTATTGAGATATATGTTCATTTGAGACCTAACTAACGAGATTTAAAGATGTATTGAGATACATTTTAATGCTTCTCTAGTTATCGAGATATTCAATTAAAAGTTTCAATTGACACTTTGGAACTAGGATTGTAAACGAACCGAGTTGAGTTCAAAATCATGTGCTCGAAATTGAGCCATTAACGAGTTGAGCCAAACTGACTAGTTTATGAATATTATCGAATCGAGCTCGAACATCAACGAGCAAGACCCGAGTCTTAATGGGTCGAACTATATAAATAATATGACAAATTCTTATTTTTCGAGTTTTAACAAGTCTTAACAAGTTGAACTATATAAATTATATATAAATTCTTATTTTCGGTCTTAACGAGACGAGTCAAGCATGCTCGTTAACTATATGAGCTTTCAATGAGCTCAAACTTTGTTGGTTTATCAAATGAGTTGAGCTTCACGAACGACTCATTTCGTTTAACTGCTAGAAACCGATAATGAAACTTTGCCATAAAAAAATTGAAATTGGTGATTGAACAATCCATAAACAACACTCTCAAGCACAAACATTATTGCTTGGTCCTTACTTTAGATCTTAAGATTTTTATTTGAGACGTTATAAAGGTTCCACTTTTCGTAATCAAATTACTTTAAAAAATTACTTTTGATTTTGTCATGTTTGTCAGAACATTTTATACTTTAAAAACATATCTTCGAAACTCCACTACAAAACTTCACATCTACGCTTGGAATCTGCCAAGAGTTCCAATCAAATTCAAAAGATAGAAAAAACTAAAGATTTTTAAATAATCACTGAAAATATTTTGGTTCCTCAATTTCTCCCTGCTAAAAACAGAAATAAGTTCCAAAATACAACAAATTTAAAATCCGCTTAGCTCGTTTCAAACTAGTGGTCCTCGATCTTCTTTAGACCTTTCATATCTGTTGTTTCCACCCTGTAGCATAGTAAAGGGATTACTATAGCATTCATCATAATATGGGGGCACCTTCTCTTAGATTCTAATCGATTTTAGCGATCCTTTGATCGATATGAATTGACTATACAAGAAGCGAAAACAAATTGCAACCTGTCTAAGAAAGTATATTTCTACCGATCTTTACATTTTATCAACTTTCACTTCCCTCATAACAGCTACTACTTGTTTCTCATCAGTCAATCATTGAACATATTAATGAGTTAGCTTGAAGTTTAAATCAAAGCAATTAGAGATTCTCCAAATAAGAATTATTCTTGATTCTCATTTTATTTGTTATGTTGTTTCGTGCTAGGAGAATCAGCTTGAGAAAATTCTGATCTCTTTTTATCTTGAATATAGTATGCTTTTCTTATGCAAAAAGAATCTTGCCCATCGATTCTAAAAGATAGATGGTTACAATAACACAATCTTGTTACTATAGTTACATAAAGAGCGTCCATCCTATTTCTTTCCGGGGTATATACAATGTGAGAGACGTATTGGAGGCACGCGGTAGAGTGTGGAAGTTTGGTGTTCCTTATTTAAAATCTTAAATAAGTATTCAGCGAGTAAAAGATTGTGCTATTCAGATCATCAAACTGTTTTTTCATATGCACGGGATTAAGGAATTCGAAAATGATAAAGCATAAAGATAGAAGGAAAGAGCAATGAGGAACTTACGTAGTTCCATGGAGAACAATATTTTGAACTTTAGTAATTTCAGAACCTGATTGATTGTCCTCAATGAAAATTGTCAGGCTGGTTCACAAAAGGCGAGCATGTTAAACATAAAACAATAATGTAACGAGCATACACTTAAAAAAGACAAGAAAACATACCTGCGCACATTCTGAAACTTGACATACTTGACTATCACAGGTTTTCCCTAAAGAAATTCAGAATATTGAGCATGTTCCTCCAACAGTACAAAATTGTTAACAATCATTGAAGTGGGTCCATGAAAAACTAATGTTACCTTAAGGTTCTCCTCGGATAAAACAGCTGTATCACTTGGAGGGAAATCGTTGACATTACTGTATATCACTTAAATAAGGAATAGTTTGAAAAACTGGGAAATTTTACTTGAAAAACTGGGAAATTTTAACCAGTTAAACTTAAACATTTAACCACCATATTACCTGAACCCCATGTGCTCCCTGTTAGCAAAAAGCTTCACAGTTCTTGGGCCTACAAATTTGAATTATATCCAAATATTAGTCCATTGTTGATTATATGTCAAAACACCAACTTATGTACAGAATTAAATGTGTGAAAGTGCAGCCATCAAACGGGAAAGCAAAGATGAACAAATCCAAGGAAAATACAACATATTTTGTGTTACATGTGTTGTGTTTCTAAGTAAGGATTTACTAAATTATAAAAATGCAGAACTGATTAGTAAAATTAAAAAATCCAACAATAATCAATAGAATGGTTGAATGTAGAAATTGAGGGAGATGATATTTATTAAAATACAAAGGAAGCATCTAGATAAATAAAATAATGGTGAACCTCAAACAGTATCGAACAAACAATCTTACACCCAACAGCATATCTTACATCCATTAAACAAGTGGAATATGTGAAGCAGGAATTATCAATAACAGATAATCACTTATATGAAAAACTTAAATAAATGTATGTTGTCTGTGTGTCTTCTAAGATCGGGATGTTATGTGCATAACTTTTGGAAATAGGATAAGTCTGGGAGATGCAATGATATTTAAAGGTTTAATTCTTATTATGGGGGAACTGAAACATTGCCTCATATAAGGAAAGCAAACAATGCAAAAGGGGTGAGAATAAGAATGAGTAACCAATTACGGGAGGTAAAAAGTGTAGTAATAGCATATGCAATCAACCATCCGAGATGAAGGAAATGCTGATTGAAACTTTGTAACAATAAAACACCAGAGTCACAAACATTCCTTCGCAGAACAAGAAGCATATTCATATAAGGAAAGTAGGTTCAATAATGAATTGAAGAACTTTTAATCTTGCAGCTTCAAATAAGTTTATAGGCTTTCAAGATATTCAACAACTTAGTTTACCTTCTTCCCCTGGTCCTCTTATTACAAACGAATGGAGTTTAATAACTTGAGTAAAAGGAATATATATCAACAGCTGTTCATCAGCATCGCTTTCCAAATGCAAACCATCATCTTCTCTGTAACCCTGATTCGACAAGTGAACTAACATTAGACCATAAACAATGACCAAAGTCCAAAAGATGAGAATCGAAAATCATACAGAAAAAAAAAAAAA